AACATGATAAACCTATTATTAACAATGCTATATAAATCTAGCAATATATTTGTGCCTAAAAATGCAGCCATTATATCAATATATCGATATAAGCATGTGCAAGAAATAAAAGGGGGGCGCTTTGACACCACCTATTAACGACAACATCCACCTTTGAAAATTGTGATTATTTAAGGCACATATGGGGAAACTGACTCCACAGCTGTGAAAATGCAGAGGGTTGGGCAGGTATGTGTAAGAACCATGCCCAAACCAATTCCAGTGCTTGTGGATTGATTGTCAAGAAAATCAGGAGTAAACAGAGCATGCGGAAAAGCCCCAAAACAGCAAGCCACACCCTATCTGAATTCAGGTAATCTGCTTGTGAGTAAATATGTAGGCTTACATAGAAAAAGAAAGAAAAACTTTGCAATTTTAATACTAAATGGGGGAAAGTCTATGTATAAAAATAAGCCAGACTTAACACCAAGTCAAGGAACAGAACCTTCTATGCTCTGCCTTAAAGCTTTTATCAAACAACCAACATTCAGCCCCATCTAAAACTCACAGAACCTATTCTGAATACAAGTTGGTCCTAATAAAAAGGCATGAGCTCATTCGTTGCGTGATTTTTGTTGGGCAACATCAATATGGTTACAAGATTATTGTCTTCAGTATTTTAAGAGGGCAACCTGAATAATTCTGGAAATAGCTTTACTGATCTCTTTTAAGTGCCACACCAAGCGCAGGCATCTATTTCTGGCCAACGAAGTAATCAAGTAACAGGTCCTCACTTGTACAAAGTATGCAGAGTTTGTCATAAGCACTGTGTCCTAAAATGGCATGAACTGGTGAAAGGTGGAGAGCTATCTGTGTGTAGAGTATGTAAATGATAAGCAAAGAGGATGTCAGTACTCATGGTCCTAAAATAACTGGATCATTTCAGATAACCAACCAGCAAACATCCAACAAACCTTAGATAAAAATACTGTACTGCAGAGGGGAGGAAAGAGATCTAATAGAGGCGACTAGCGTCCAAGAAGAAAACTAATCCATGATCAGTAAAAGATGAGCTGATGAAAAGATGAAAAGTCTGAGATTCAAATCAATATAGTTAGAATACATCCATATCCTTTAAGAATACAGTTTATCTACTGTGATTAAAAAGTCATATCCCACCTTTCCATAAGTTGTGGTAGTTTGCTTTACAAAAGAGAATGGGAAAGAAAAAATCATCACTGCAGGATTTGCAGGTCCAGTATATAGTTCAGTATTAATGTCATCTGGCTTCCCACCAGAAGCACCAGTATCCCAGAAGTCATGCAGCCCAAAGCACCAAAATCTAGAGCAAGTGCCCTGACCTGGGTGTCCCAGGTCCTTTCCACATTTGCCTGCCACTCCGGATTTTCTCAATTTAAGTCCATGGCAAAACAGCATCCGAATAACCCGGGGCAACAGCAGGCTGAAACCAGGCTGACCACTGAAGGGAGGTGATGTAATGCAGAATTGGGGGACGGGGGGGACGGACCGGAATAAAAAAAGGTTGAACTCGATTTTAGTGCAGAATGGGGAAAAAACTGGATTAAAAAGAAGGTTGAATTCAGTTTTAGTGCAGAATTGCTTGGAGGACACCACAGTGAACATGGATTAAAAGGAGAGTGCAGAAAGGGCCCCAGGCTAGCTTGATCTCATTAGAAACTAAGCAGGGTCGGCCCTGATGGGAGGCTACCAAGAATATCCAGGGTTGTTAACTCAGAGGCAGGTAATGGCAAATCACCTCTGCTCACTTCTTCCCTTGAAAACCCAATGAGGGGTTGGCATAAATTGCCTGAGACTTGATGGCAGCTTACAAACACACACAGGACAGGCAGCTGACTACAGACTATTGGGTTATTGTAACTTGCTCTACACAGGGCTGCCCTTAAAACTGACCCCGAAACTGCAGTTCGTGCAAAATGTGGGACGTGTGTGTCCTCATCGGGACACCCCAAAGAGCACACATACAACCAGTACTCTTGTCAGCTGTGTTGGCTTCTAATTGAACACTGGATCAAGTTCAAGATTATAGTGTTAACGTTTAAAGCCTTGAGCAGTCTGGGACCCACATATTGGCAGGACTATCTCTCCCAGTATGCCCCTCAAAGAGCCTTATGCTCCGCAGACCAACAATCGGCTGGTGGTCCCTGCCCAAAAGGGCTTCGCCTCAACGGAGCCAGCCTGGTGGAACACTCTCCCAAGTGAGATCAGGGCCCTGCAGAACCTGTTACAGTTCCACAGGTCTTACAAAATGGAGATGTTCCATCAGGCCTATGGTTGAGGCAGAGGGTATCTAATGGCATCAGCCTCCCCTGCATTTCCTAGCACTATTTATTTGCTGGGTTGTGACTAGCACACTTGTTCAGGTTTTAAATCCTATTGAACATCTATACAGATAGTTAATGCAGGGATTTTATGAATTGTATTGATCGCCATCTTGTAATGTTTAATTAATTGTCCTATGTTTTTAATGGTTTTAATTACTGCATAATGATTGTTCATAATCATTGCTGTAATCTGCCCTGAGCCCTGCTGTGCAGGGGAGGGAGAGCTAGAAATACAATAAATAAATAAAATTCAGTGTGACATCCTCCATATAAACCTCTTCAGAGAGCTATAGGATAATTATCATCCCTAGTACTCAGTTGGGCGATGGGAGCAATTACATTTGGATGAATTCCAGCAGTCTTTATAAAAATGATAGCCAGGGCTCTAGTCGGGGATAGTATTGCAGGTCCGGAGCTCCGGAAGAGAACCTCTAGGGGGCGGGGCGGTCACGTGGTGAAGCCCCGCCCCTTCTTTACCCTGCCCTCTGCTTCGATCCTCATTCCGTTTGGGAATGAGGATGAAGCAGGAGGGTAAGTAGCCGGGCCTTCTGACACACTTCCGGTGATGTCAGGGGGTGTGGCCTTCTGTCACTTCCGGTGATGTCAGGGGGCGTGGCATATGCAAATAAGTTATGCTAATGAGTTATGCTAATGAGTTATGCTAATGAGCTCCGGCAGCTCTTTTTCTACAACAAGACCCCTGATGATAGCTATGTAGATGGTGACAGATAGTATTGTAGAGCTACTGCTGTCCACATAGCACACCTTCATGTTTTTAGTCTTCAGCCAAAATAATCTTGCAGTATATCATATTAACTATACCCTAGAAATGCTACAAGCCTCCAGAAACATTACTAACTATGGTGGAATGGATGTACATTTGATGAAGCTTCCCAATCTCAGAGCAATTTAGAAGCATTTTAAAAGTCTGTCCATGGTGGTACTTTGAGAAAGGAATGTTTATCAATATAGTATCCTATAAACAAGAAAAAGGATTGCAAGTTTACTGTCCCTCATTTCAGCGATGCCCTGCCATTCAAGACCATTTTATTGTCCTGAGAAAATGATGGTAAACAAAACATTGAATGCCAACTGCCATGGTAAATGATGGTTTAACCACCTCATGGAGAAGTACCTGAAGAACAGCCATGTATACACAACCAAGACAGCCTCTGAAGAATGTGCTTGTGATCATTGTATATATACACACTCTGTTAACTCCACGCTTGAAGAACAGCATGGTTTCATTTGAAGGAATCACAGAAGATCTTTGGACACAGCTTCTTCAAGTTTCCAGGCACTGGTGCTGGTTCCTACCCATAAAACCCTAAATGGCTTGAAGCCATGGCTTGAAGGATGGCCTCCTCCAATACTGTCCAACCTGCCAGTTAAGACCTGCCTCAGAATCCCTGCCCTCTGTGCCCCAGTAATCCCAGGAGAAGCTGGCAGCAAGCAGGGAGAGGGCTTTTTAAATTTATTTGGAACATTTCTATGCTGCCTTTTCACCCAATTTAGGGTCACCACGGTGGCAAACATTTAAACATTTCAGACATTAAAAACAATTTACAATACACAAAAATATTTAAAAGAATTAAAAAAAACATAAGCACAAAAAATATACACCACAAACACAAACAGAGAGGAGGGCTAATAACAGTGAGTGATCACCAAACCAAATGAAAAAGGTCTTCACCTGCTGAAAATTAATCTCCCTGGGGAATGAGTTCCAACATTTCAATGCTACAACTAAGAAGGGTCATTCTAAAATAGCCACCATCTAGCCTCATATGGCGGTAGTGGCACCTTGCTTATGTTATGCCCTCTCCCTTGAGGCTCACTTGGTGCCTATATTTCTTTCTTTTAGGCATCAGTCGAAAACATTTTTGTTCAGCCAGGCTTTTAGTTAAGGGGTAGCTCTTTTGGAAATTTGTTTTGTCAGTGGGCTGTTTTTATGGATTATGTTTTTTATGTTAGTGCTGGATTTTAATCAATACTTTTAATGTTTTGTTTTTATTGCTTTATTTTGTAAGCCACCTTGGGCAGATAACTGGAGAGGCAGCATAAACATTTTCTTAAAAAAAAAAAAGGGATAAGAGAATAATTTTTCTACTTATCCTTGGCATAACATATTGCCTCAAATGGAAACCAGAGTTTTATTGAGAGCCAAAATGGTCATGATCTGCTACTCACTGGGCCAATGACATGGGTCTTGTTAATTTCTATAAGGCTTTCAATACTGAAGTAATAAGAGAACCCAGTTTCATAAAAACTAATATATAGAGGAAAACAAACAATCTGCTATAAGTGATCTCTTCTGAATATGTTATAATTGGGCCATTTTTACCTGTATCAATGGAAATATTGTCTTTGGTGTACTTCTGTATTTTCAGTCACCTGTCATCCTAATAGTAAAGCATGAATTTGGAATTTTTTGTGCACTTTAAAATATTCTTATATTTTGTCTCTGCTTTTTGTCTTTGTGCTATTAGCACAACATTAATCATGCAAAAACCTGTTTCATAGCTGTTCATATTAACCATGGAATTGTTTTCTAAATTAATTTTATATATGGCTTAATGTGTTTTTAGCATTACTTCAAATTAAATCTGTCCAGCAAGCACCACTATTAGAGTTCAAACCACAAGACTCAATGATGGTTTAATGGTAGTTTATTTTCACATTCAGACAACTGTACACTTTTCTATAAATAGATGTGGTACTGAAATATTTACATCTCCCCACTCATGCTTAGTACAGTCCATTGACTAGCCACACAGACCAAGCTGCATGGAAAATGGGCCCAGTACTTTCTGAAGGCAGTTGCCAAGCATTTATTTCAGTTTATATCATACCCTGATATCTGTTAAATGTTTTACAATTTATTACATACCATGGATCCTTTCCCTTTATGTACCCTGATGCTTTTTTAACATTAGAGTCCAGGAAAGTCCATGAAAAATAAAACACATTTTGAACATTAATTTTTCAGCCAACTAAAACATAAAGGGTCAAGTGGGTACTTTACCTGGAAGGGAGGTTTCATTGCACAGTAGCATGGTTTTTGCAAAATTCTTTGATATACCTGTACAGTTTGACAGAAGCAGTGGCTAAAAGGAGACTTGGAACAAGGATAAGTGCTATTGACTCAAACGTCTGCATCCTTAAAACAGTTTTCACAGCCTGATGTATTTCTGACATCGTACTACAGAGTGCACTTCAGACAACTGGACCTTATATGAGTATGCCAATATGATTTAACCAATAGCACAATATTGGTTTTTTATCGCTTTTTTTTTTTTTTTGGTCTTTCCTCACAATGCTATACCATGAAGAGTTCTAGCTACCACTATGAGCATATGCTAATGAACTGGAATGTTAGCAAAATATTATTCGCCCACTTAAAAGAATATGTACAATACATGCATGCCAGTTTTTAAAGTATCTCCTAATACTTCCTGCTCCATGATTCCTAGCCATTCCTCTGAAAATGCAGTGATTAAATAGGCATATGTATTTTCTTTGATGCTCAAAGAACAGATGGAAGGAATTGAAGGACAAAAAGGGCCATGTAGTGAGACTTCCATGTCAGGACAGGTACAAAGGAAGAAAAAAAGGAGGACTTAAACAAAAGCATTAAATAACAGCAACAAATATAACTCGGGCAATGCTCTGAGCCATTTCCATTGTACTCATAACAGAAAACCTGAAAGCCAAGACTCAAGAAATATGTTACAATGGTACCCATGAAAATAAAAAAGTGGAACCTCACATGAGCTGGTTGAAGAAGCAAATTTCAAAGGATTGGCATGAGCAGAGCATATTCTCTTCTAGAAGGGATGCTGACCACTCCAAAATGCTATGGAAGGGCAGTCTCAGTACGGGATGGAACAGTTAAATCTGATTCTTCTAAGGGAACTTGCAGATTAATAAATAAAGCAAGTTTTCATTAGAGATGGTTATGTGAGCTCCAGTAACATGAACAGAATGGGAAGTATTACACGCCACTGTATTTCCCAGTGATGAGGATCAGCTGGACACCGGACGAGGTGGTTTACTTTTGCTTTCTGCCTCTTTTCCACGAACTGCAGCCACATAAGAGAAGAGACACAATACGGAGTAGCAGATCTCATGAGCCTAGAGGGTATTAGAAAAGGAGATAATGAGAGTCCAGACAACTAAATTTTAGATTTACTGTTGACCTTTCATTAGATATCCTTTACTTCTCAAGGAAATAAAAAATGCTCTGGTGGATGTAATATACTGTCTTAGTGTGGGTGACACATCCATCGCCATGAGCTGTAAGGATAAGGAACACATACAGCTTCAGAGTTGAATAAATTGAGGGTGAAGACAGATGTAACAATCTGGAGGTTACCTTTCTTCTTCAGGTCAAGATCTAGAAATAGCAGCTCTGCACACTGGCAATAAAAACCAGATATGGATGGGTCATTCAGTCACCATATCTCTGCTGCACTGCCTAGAGTAGTTTTGCAACTATGTTTGTAATTAGCAATGGATAAATGTTTAAAAGAATAAACATACATCTGTCATGAGGGGGAGGAACTGAGAAAACAGGAATCTTGCATGAAGCACAATAGGAGGGACAAGGCTAACAGCTGAACCAGTATTTCATTTGCTTATGTGCACATCTATCAAATTGCAAATCTGAGAATATATAACTAAAGGCCCTGTTGACAATCTTATTTATATTACATCTGTCTCCAACCCAAGTAGATGATTTAAATGAACAGAATGTAGGCGCTAGTAACATAAGAGTCTTAACTCATCATGTCTGGTATCTGATCTCCCTATATGGTCCCCAAAAGCCCCAAAACAAGACATTTTATTACACAATTCTGTGTCTAATCACTAGTTTAGGGTGGGAGTGGGGAATTAAATTTCAGCTACAGATTCATTAGTTATATATACTTTCAAAATGACAGGTAGAAGATCTCTTTCTTACTGTTGATAACATTCTAAATACTAACCCAAACATTACCACTAAAATTAATATTTGTCACACCCCTAAATTTTTTTGCATGTTTGTCCAAATATATATTTTAAAATAAACACATTTAAAAATTATTATTAAAGTTATATTTTGTGCCTGATCCAAATTGGTTAAATAACATTCTGTTTAACTAGAGAGCATTCTCATGGCCATCCATACGTGGGATTATTAATTCTAAAACAATGCAAGTATGTTCAGGAGCTAAATATTCCCAGTTTTAAGAGTTTATAGCCTAAATCCTTTCAATTGCTGAAAAATTAGATTAAAAATAACATATAATTACAAGTGGTTCCATGCTATGACAGATTAAGAGTTCAATTTTCTAGATACATTATTTGCTAGGGACTTGAAGGATCAAATATATCAATTTTTATAGTATAAATAAATCAAATCAAATTTAAACCATCAGGACTGTTGATACTTCTTTCGGCACTAGTCCCAATATTCCTCCTTTTGGAGGCCAACACAAATATCAAAAGCCCATTTTTATGGGGTAGCCATATCAGTCTGTTGCAGACAAAAGTAAGAGAATGAGAGAAAGAAACAGCCTTATGGCACCTTAAAGACCATAAGGTTTACTGAAGCATCCGGTCTTTGGGAATTCTAGCCCATGAAAACTTATGCTTCTGTAAAGTCTTGTATACTCTTTCAGTCTTATATTCTCTTTCTATTGCACCTAATTATAAGTATACCTACACACAACCTTCTGATGGAATAAAAGCATAAATGATCAGATCTTTTGGGAAATTAGCAAAATGCAAGATGGACAGGAGTCTAAATGTTCAGATGTCACAGGGTGATAAACCAGGAGAACAACAAACCTTTGAAAATAACTAGAAGTAGTGCAGATGACTCACCATTGGCGTCTTGTACTTGTGGATCACCACTTCTTTAGTTTCAGGAACTAAAACCGGACGGGCAAGAGACAAAACAAAAAGTTCAAAAAACGAGAGGAAAAAATGAGGAGAATAGTACAACGTTCCCAAGGTGAAGGGAAGGGAGATGTATGAACAGCCACAGGAAGAAGGCACTTTACTAATCCAGTTTTCTTTCTATCAATAGATTGCATGACAGTTCACTGAAGTATACATAACAAGAATAATTCAAAACAAAATGTAGGAGAAGATCACTAATAACTTAAGATCTCATACAGACTCATCTGCTGCTTTGCTATTTATTCTTGTTTTATACAATATTCCAAAGTAAAATATTTAGCAAGTGCCAACTGTAGAGTGCCAACACTTCTGTTCAATGACTTGCCAATCTGGTATTTCTCTCACATTCTCAATTTCAGAGCTTCTCTGTGCAGCAATGATGGCTTCCCAAACAGGATACCTATGAATGATTTACACTTAAAACTAGCAGAATGTCATTTAGACAGTAATGAAAATTCTGCTTCCTGCAGCACAAAAAAGAAGGTAACAACCAAAGAAAGGATTAATTGCTCAAGTTTCCCAGATTTAAAGCTTGCATTTCAACAGAGTTTCCGCTGTGCATAGATCAAAACCCTCAAAATATCTGAGAACAATCACAGCACAATTTGGAATCTTTTTATTAAAAAGTAACAGAGTCCACCTCAGAATTTCTAACCAGAAGACAATGTAAGGAAGATTTTTCAAAATGAAGTCATATTTTGGATGCATAGGAATATATTTGGGGGAAGGACAAATATCTTATGAACCACAATACCTCCTAATTGGGGGGGTGGGGTTAAAATCTATGAACAAGTGAAGTCAGTGCAAATGCTTATAGGAAAGCACCACAAACATCTGGCAAATCCTTTCATACATGAGAAAATAAAGCCTAAATGGGAAAAAGAGTAATACTGTACAATAAAGATTAAAGAATATATATACTGAGGCATGCCAATAAGTTTCCAATATGAAACAACACAGCTGTAATGTTGATCCAAGGAACAGCAACGGCAACATTTCTGGATAAATCCAAGGAAAATTCCCTATATTTCATGCCTGTGAGATACTGACTCATGATCCCAGTTAAAGAATGAAGTATATCTCTAAACTACTTTACTAAATAGAGTCAAATAGTCTGATAGCAGCCCCATTTCACCATCAAACAATTCAAAATGAAGCAGACATAAACCAGACTGGAGTAACTATAGCACAATTGCAAGTTCATATGGTACTTTGAAAGACAAGATTAATCAGAAGGAACTGGGATTATGAGGCAGGAAAGTAGAGAAGTGGCAAAGACCTTAGTCTTCATATACAAACTAAGAAAGGGGACCATCATGTTCCCTGAAGCCAACTTCTGCCCAGCTCAAGGACTCTATTTACAGCCTCTCTGGTAGGAAAGATAATGTTGAAAGGGAAGGGGTAGAAAAGTACAGTAAAATTTCAATCAAATATAAAAAGGGATACCTTTAATCTAGGAATAAAATTATTTCTGACATTGTTAAATTAGAAGTAAACAAGTAAATAAGAAAACAAGTGCTATCCTGCAGCCTCGTGCCCTGTGAAGGAGAATACAAAGGACCTGGAAAGAATTGGAATCGGGGGAAACACTTTACCTGCTGGAGAATGAAGGTTTTCATAGCAGCAACAGTGAAGGGGCCACAAAAAAGTAAAGCACAAGTACATAGCAGTAACTCAAATTCCAGAGCCAAAGGCCTAATATTCCTGCTCTCCTTTCATCCTTCCTCTAAGTAGTGTGCCACAGCCTGTTCCTGGGTCCTAGGATCTCATCTCTAACTTCCAGTTTGTTGCATTAGCACTGTGCCAGCTGAGTGTGATACATTAGGTCTGTGCCAGAATTTTATAACATACAAAATAACCACCAATCTTACAGAATAAGGACTCTGAAAGATATAGTTTAACCAATAAATCTCATGGTGTAACCTCATTATTTATGTTAATCATATTTCTTTGAACAGCTATTTGATACTAAAATTCTTCCTGTACAAAAGGAAGCAAAGAACAGGATTTAGCAAAGATGACAATCCCTGCACTGTAGCTTTCATATCTCACATCCAATAAATAGCTTTCATATCTCACATCTAATGAATGATTCCCCCCAGAATGAGACTCTAGTGTCTTCCAGACTGCAGCCGCCTTCTGGGTTTTCATTGGTGTTGTTGCAGTTCCAATTATAGTGCTATCGGCGTGATCATTACACACTTACTCATTTTCTTTGTTTTTCCCTGTCAGTGTTCCATCTGTTCACATTTATATTGTGGACTGATCAAAATGGGTAGCCACATTAGTCCATCTGTAGCAGTAGAAAAGAGCAAGAGTCCAGTAGCACCTTAAAGACTAATAACATTTGTGGCTAGGTATGAGCTCCATTTGCCAGCAAATTTGGAAAACGCAACAGTGGCCACGGGATTGGAAAAGATCAGTATACATTCCAATCCCAAAGAAGGGCAATGCCAAGGAATGTTCAAACTATCGCACAATTGCACTCATATCACACGCTAGCAAGGTCATGCTCAAGATCCTACAAGCTAGGCTTCAACAGTACGTGGATAGAGAACTACCAGAAGTACAAGCTGGGTTCCGAAGAGGTAGAGGAACTAGAGATCAAATTGCCAACATTCACTGGATTATGGAGAAAGCAAGAGAGTACCAGAAAAATATCTACTTCTGCTTCATTGACTATGCTAAAGCCTTTGACTGTGTGGATCACAACAAACTATGGCAGGTCCTTAAAGAGATGGGAGTACCAGACCACCTCACATGTCTCTTGAGAAACCTGTATAAGGGCCAAGAAGCAACAGTTAGAACCGGATATGGAACAACTGATTGGTTCAGCATAGGAAAAGGAGTACGACAAGGATGTATATTGTCACCTTGCTTATTTAATATATATGCAGAGTACATCATGCGAAATGCTGGCCTGGATGAATCACAAGCGGGAATTAAGATTGCTGGGGAAAAGATCAACAACCTCAGATATGCAGATGATACCACTCTAATGGCTGAAAGTGAAGAGGATCTAAAGAGCCTCTTGTTCAGAGTAAAAGAGGAGAGCGCAAAAGTGGGCTTGAAGCTCAACATCAAAAAAACTAAGATCATGGCATCCGGCCCCATCACTCCTTGGCAAATAGAAGGGGAAGTCGTGGAAGTAGTGACAGACTTCACGTTCCTGGGATCCCAGATCACCGCAGACTGTGACTGCAGCAATGAAATTAAAAGACGCCTGCTCCTTGGGAGGAAAGCGATGGCGAACCTAAACAGCATGATAAAAAGTAGAGACATCACCCTGCCAACAAAAGTCCGCATGGTCAAAGCAATGGTATTCCCAGTAGTCATGTATGGCTGCGAGAGCTGGACTATAAGGAAGGCCGAGCGCCGAAGAATAGATGCTTTTGAACTATGGTGCTGGAGGAGACTCTTGAGAGTCCCTTGGACTGCAAGAAGCACAAATCAGTCAATCCTCAAAGAAATCAACCCTGACTGTTCCCTGGAAGGCCAGATAATGAAACTGAAGCTCAAATACTTTGGCCACCAAATGAGAAGGGAGCACTCACTGGAAAAGACCCTGATGCTGGGAAAGATTGAAGGTCAAAGAAGACGGGGACGGCAAAGGATGAGATGGTTAGACAGTGTCATCGATGCAACGAACATGAAGTTGAGCCAACTTCAGAGGACGGCGGAAGACCGGAAGGCCTGGCGAGAGTTCGTCCATGGGGTCGCGAAGAGTCGGACTCGACTGTGCGACTGAACAACAACAATGAGCTTTCGTGAGTCACTGCTCATGAAAGCTCATATTCTGCCACAAATTTTGTTAGTCTTTAAGGTGCTACTGGACTCTTGCTCTTTTCTACTGCTACATTGTGGATTGGTTTGCTGCTTTTTTTAGTGCATACACTGAAGTGTTGCAGTGCTTCAGGAGCCTCAAGGGGGCTGAGAAATCCCCCACCCACCACATCAAACCTGAGAGTCATACCTGGTATATATGTCTCCCTTCTTTTTGGTTGCCTCTTTTCCTGCATTTCAACATTCTCTCTTATTGGCTCCCTCTCCCCACTTCTTTTGAATTCCTTTACCTGTCTTCAGAGAACAATCTACTGGTAATCCCCAGCCCAAAGGAAATCTAGCTGTCCTCGACCAGAGTCAGGGCCTCTTCTGCCCTGGCTTCTACCTGGTGGAACTCTCTCCCAAATAACATCCGTGACCTGCAGGACCTAATGCAGTTCTGCAGGGCTTTTGGTTGAGGATAGCAATGGATACCATTGATTACTGCAATGCTCTCTACATGGGGCTGCCCTTGGGGCAACTCCAGAAGCTGCAGCTGGTGCAGAATGCCGCGGCCAGGTTGCTGATGGGTCTCCCCGTGAGGGAGCACATCCAACCTGTACTGAGGTCGCTGCACTGGCTGCCAATAGCGTTCCGGATATGCTTCAAGATGCTGGTTATGACCTTTAAAGCCCTAAATGGTCTGGGGCCTGTCTACCTGAGGGACCGCCTTTCCCCATACGTTCCCCCAAGAGCACTGAGATCTGAGTCGCAAAATCGCTTGGTCCCCCCTGGCCCTAGGGACACTAAGTTAACATCGACAAGAACTAGGCCGTCTTCCCTAGCTGCACCAGTACTATGGAATCAGCGCCCAAATGAAATTCGAGCTCTGCGGGATCTTCAACAATTCCGTAGAGCGGTAAAGAACGAGCTGTTCCGGCAAGCGTTTTAATAGCTCAGACCACACTGACTGTTCTAGCACTTCATAACAGATGGCCCCCACGTCTTAATTTTAATTTTTAATAAGCTGTACTTGGATAATTTATTGATTGTATTGTTTTAGACTTGATATCGTATTAATTGTTATACTGGTTTTTAAACTATTGTAAGCCGCCCTGAGCTGCCTAAGCGGGAGGGCGGGGTAAAAGTCTAATAAATAAATACCATCCTACTCGCACTCCCTCCTCCTCCCCCCCTTCTTTTTTCT